ATGGGATGTATAAATAGTAAATAAAAATAGATAATGTAAGCTTATTTAAAGCCTTCAAATAAAATGAAAAAGTAAAACAAAACTGAACCTAATATCAAAAGTATGGAAGTGCATTAAAGATCAAGAATATAAAAATTAGATAAAAGAAAAAAAAAAAACCTGGTTGTGGAGGGCTAGTGCCAGTTACAGCTGCTATGGGGAGGGGTACACAATGGATGGATGAATGAACTTAAATGGAAGCGCAATACAACCCTATAAGTAAAAAATAAAAACAAATAATGAGAACTCCCTGGAGCTTTCTGAAAACATTTTATTATCTATCTTTCTTAAGAATATGGGGACCTATTAATATTTAAAACAATATTATTTAATTTTTAATAAGTTTGGAAACTCATTAAAGCCTTTTGATAATAATTGAATCGCAATGATGAACACAAACATCTAGAATTAACTGGACTAAATGTTTGGACTTACTAAAAGGTCAAAAAGACAAAACGTTTATAAACAACTCTCCAATAAATAAATAAAGTATATCAGAACTATGGAAGCTCATTAATTCTGAAAACATTTAATTGTATATATTTTTATACACAGTTCATAGAACTCATGAGAGAAAATATTTCTTAAAATAAACCCGAATTAACCACCTAGAAAACTTATTAAAACATGACTTGACATATGGAAGCTCATCAAAGTATGTCAGAAAACACAAATAGTGACACACATAAAAAACAAAATAAAGCACAATATTTTTAAGCATGGAAACCTATGATGTTATTTCCCAATAAAAAAAACAGAAGTCAGCAAAAATTAAACAAGGATTTATCAGGTCCTTATTTGAATAACGTGTTAGAAATGAACATAGTTTGTGTTAAACTGTAACAAAATTTTCTTTCAACATAAACTGCTGAAGAGCTAAAATTAGTTTTAATGTGCAGTTTACATTTGAACCTGGATGTTCCCATCAAGCACAAATGTTTACCAAACTGTGTCAGGAAAATAAGTCAAATATTTATGAACCAACAACTAAGGAAGGTTAAAGAAAATCTGAATTATTATATAATCTAAATAATGAATAGAAACTTCTGATGATGTATACAATTTTAATGAACTAGGTGGAACAGAAGGTTAAAGGTCAAAGCTCATGACCCATTTAATTAAACAAGCTTACAAGATGAATGCTGTAACAACCACGGGTCCAAATGTTGCCCTCAAACTCTGCAGGTGCTGCGACGCTAACAGAGATATAAAATAAAAACCCAATCATATATGGAAACCCATTTCTGCCAAACAACAAAATGAAACAGTGTAAAATGCCTTTGGTTGGTTAAAAATTACAAAAATATCTTCAGACAGTAAATTTCAAACAATTTTAGATTTTTTCATATTTTTGCCAGTGAAGTTACATTTTTAATTCTCACAAAACTTTTACACCATAGAAAGACATTTGGTCTTTTCACTAACATACTAATGTAACTTAGAATAACCTCAAGTTTTTTGTTTAAATTATTGATTAAAGCTGTTTTGGTTAAGAATCCGCAAAAGATGAAATAAAAATAAAACAGCGTGAGCCTCAAACGAATTCAGATTTATTTACAACTAAAATAAAAGCAGCTCAATTAATATTTGAGGGGAAACATCTTTTTTTTCTGCATTTTTGGCAGAAAGGGGCTTCCATGTCAACTGTTGTAGTTTTTGTCTTCTGCAGAAACAAACTACAGGACCGACGTCCTGATTGTCCATTAGTCTCAAAGTTGAGGCGCCGGCATGGAC